TGATTTTATTTTACCGTAACATGTGATATATTCTTAGTCAAAACGTGATCTTATCTATAAAATGAACTATAATTAATTCGTCGTGCATTTGCCAGAGGCCGGACAGCAGCGCTCTCTGATAAACCTGAACCTTTTGAACTGAGATCTCTAATCCAAGCGCGGATTACTAGATAATCCGCGCTTGGATATAAACATTTTTTTGACTAACTCGTTGGCTGAGTGGTCGCAAGTGCGACTGCCGGGCAAGGGGTCTCGGGTTAAATTCGTGGGTCGGGCAAAGTATTAATAAGTTTTTAAAAAAAATCTCTGTAGTACGGAGTCTGGAAATGTGCCTGGTATATGGCAATATGCTCACCTCCTATGACATGGGACTCATAACATAAATAGCATAAAGTGGGTGTTACATTGTACAGTGGCATTAAGTGCCGTAATGTGCATCTCTGCCTACCCCTTTCCGAGATAGGACTGGGATGCCGTCTGCTCCTTTTGCGAAGCAGTCATGCAAGCTAAGGAGGAGGCGGGACGCGTGAGGCAGCGAAGCGCAACCGTCGCGAAAGACACTCGGGGCATCGAGTGTCGCGGGACAGTGAAACAAAAACCCCTTCCGGGATAAAAGGCATGGTGTTATATTATTTATTTTTAATTTGGAAAAGCCCGCTACAACCACCCAAAGCCGTTGCAACTCCAATAAGCCAGGATCTACAGTAGATACAATCACGAAATCACCGGAACACTAAAGTCTAGGGAACGTACCAGGGACATGAATAACTGGAGCCGCGGAGAACGTAACAGGTTACCGGGGCTCCGGCTCGAAGCGCAGGAGTAGCAACGGGGTGGTTTCTAGTCAGTAAGAGTCTGAAACTCCCTCCCGCTTTACTCAGGCGGGAGAAGTCATTCCATGATTTTCCCCCCTTTAATAAAAGGTACATGAATAACTGTCTTGGATCCCGCAACGAAATAATACAGAAGATGAGCCTCCTCCACGTAACACTCTATTATGTAGAAGAGGCTCATAGTTCTACAGTGGACTGCCATATGTGTTACTCTGAAATTTAACCCATTTTAGCCCTTAACTGTCATCATTCATCTTCAACATCAACAGCCTATAAATGCCCACTGATGACCAAACGGCTTCTCATACGGTGAAGGTTCCCGAGCGTACGGCGCGTCGCTTTCCGCGCGCGCCTCAAAGAGCCACCAGACCACCACGGATGATAGGGCTGATGCCGATACAGAGCCGCGGAGAACTTAACGGGTTATCGGGGCTCCGGCTCGAAGTGCAGGAGTAGCAACGGGGTGGTTTTTAGTCAGTAAGAGTGACACTCCCTCCAATCAATCAAGTCAATCGATGATATTCCCCCCCTTAAAAAAATAATACGGCGAAGATTTGAACGCTTGTTCAATGCGGGTTCGCGATTTCAAACTTATAATTAGATAATTTATGAAGCAAATAATAGTTTATTATTTTCTTTAAATAAATAAATAGTCTATTTACTTGCGAAGCTTGACGGACGCCGTTAACAACGTACCTACGTTAAACAGTTTTGCATAAATCAAGTAATGAACCCGTGACCCTGGGTGACGTACGACTGACAGTAGCGTGATGCTTCTAATTAACATACTTTGATTTAATTGTATACTAGTTAATACACGCGGCTTCGTTCGCAAAACAAAACTAGATATACATTAAAATATTACATACATAACATCACGCCTTTTATCCACGAAGGGGTGGGCAGAGGTGCACATTACGGCACTTAATGACACTGTACAATGTAACACCCACTTTTCACTATTTATGTTATCAGTCCCATGTAATAGGGGGTGAGCCTATTGCCATATACCGGGCACATATCCAGACTCCGTGCTACTACTGAGATTTTTAAAAACCCAGTAATACTTTGCGCGACCCGGGAATCGAACCCGAGACCTCTTGACCAGCAGTCGCACTTGCGCCCACTCGGCCAACGAGACAGTCATTAAAATATTATTTAAGTTAAACGGTTTTAATGACCTCTGTTCTACCATCAAGACTTTACGTTTGATATCCATAGTGACGGTAGTTGTGGAAACAATTAGATTATATTGTATGGTCATCAAGATTAAGAGCGTGTACCAAATGTTACAGTCACATATTTTATTGCTCACTATTTTCATATTTGTGACTAATAATATTGTCTAAGTGTTTCAAACACTAAAATGCCAAATAGTAATATTGTGGATTGATTTAGTTTTCGAAAGTGGCAACACTAACCCTGTCGGGCATTCGCGCGGTTTTGTTTTTGACAGCAACAGATTTATTTTTGTAAAACAATATAAACAAGTGAATACAAATTATTTTTGAAGAAGCCTGAGTTTTAATTAAGATCACCATTCTTCTGAGCGTTTTACAAATATCAGATCGATCTGTCGTAAGTTACGATGTTTTAAATAGTCAGGAATAGGGCAGAACACATCCAGATATATTTTAATGTTAACGCGTAAAAGTGTTTTATAGATTTTTTTTTTCTATTTTATATCCCGCAACACTGCAATCTGTAAACATTTAGCCGCTTTCTTGGCTAACTCATTGTCTGAGTGTGGCATATTGCATTGAAGAGAAGTATCCAATGAATTTCACTTCCTACTAGCTGTTGAATCGGTCTATGAGGTTAGGTACACTGCTCCTCTTCAGTCTTGCAAATTGGATACTTCCAGATCCCGATAACTTAGAAGCAAGGGCATTGACATGCTTAGATAGCTTTTTAGCCTGCCTCTCTGAGAAATTTCTTTTATAGAAATTATTACAATTTTCCAATGACAAACAAACAAACATTCACATTTATTACATTAGAATGCACAATGAATGCATTAGAAATACTTTAATTGAAGCTAACGGAGCTATACATTCTCGATTATTCTTTTATTACACTGCTGCCTGACTGACTGCCTCGTTGGCCGAGTGGTCGCAAGTGCGACTGCCGGGCAAGGGGTCTCGATTCGGTTGCTGGGTCGGGCAAAGTATTACTGCGTTTTAAAAAAATTCTCAGTAGTAGCACGGAGTCTGGAATTGTGCCCGGTATATGGCAATAGGCTCACCCCCTATTACATGGGACTCATAACATAAATAGTGAAAAGTGGGTGTTACATTGTACAGTGGCATAATGTGCACTTCTGCCTACCGCTTCGGACATAAAAGGCTTGATGTTATGTTATATTCTTTTAATACAACCTTGTCCTGTTATCAAACACACTGATAAACCACATCATTATCATTGCTGCTAACCAAAGGCCTCTTCTCACACGGAGAAGGTTTGAGCATTAATCACCACGCTAACTCAATGCCGGTTGGCGATTTCAAACTTATAATTAGAAATTATAAGTCCAGGTTTTTTCACGATGTTTTCCTTCACCGTTTGGCAGTGATATCTGAATAATTTTAGGAAGTACATGTAACTCGGAAAAAGTGGCATTGGTACTTGCCGTTGGTAGGTCTCGAGCGCATTCATGCATGCGAAGCCTCTTAAACCTCCGGGCCACGACAACCATCTTAGTTTAAGGGTTTCTTAACATTTAGGAGAGTATGATGGAAACGCGTAGGTATGACACTCTCTCGTCTCAACCAAGGGAGAGAAGAGAAGTCATTGAATGATTTTCCATCCTCTATAAAAATACCTCTGATTCCCATTTAGAGGACAACACATCTAATATTAAGTTTGATTAACAGGTATAATTAATATCCGCGGAAGACTTAACGGGTTTCCGGGGCTCCGGCTCGAAGTGCAGGAGTAGGAACGGGGTGGTTTTTAGTTAGTAAGAGTCTGACACCCTCCCGCCTCACCCGGGCGGGAGAAGTCATTGGATGATTTTCCCCCCTCAAAAAAAAAGGTATAATTAATATCTCACACATAAGACCCATTTAGTTTTTAATCAAATGTCCGTGGTGCTTGGCGACTGGGCTTCTCACAGTTGTACAGTCTCTTTTTGTGCCTCTAGGTTTAATTCATTCTGTCTCCTGCAGTAATTTACCGAGGGAAGTGGAAACTATCGTTTTTTCTTCTCCTCTTGTAATATCTTCTGATTTATTTCGTTGCGGGAACCAAGACAGTTGTTCATGTCCCTGAGACGTTGGACTTCAGTGTTCCGGTGTTTGCATGGTTGTATCTACTGTAGATCCTGGTGTACAGGAGTTGCAGCGGTTTTGGAAGGCTGTGGCGGGCTTGTCATAAAAAAACAAGGTTATTTAAACATTGAATTAATTAATTAACACGTTCTTGCTATCCAAATATGTATACAATAATATATACCTATGCCTATGATTCTCACTCTAATAAACCTTTGATTTTAAGCTAAGCACACACTGTTGGTCAAAACGGTTTTAATACTGTGTCTCATCATCAGCAAGTGGCGTTTCTTATATAGTCTCTACCTACCCTGACACTCCCTCTCGCCTCACCCGGGCGGGAAAAGTCATTGAATGGTTATCCCCGCTCAAATAAAAAAACCCTTGACAGACAGGCGTGAGGTTATGTATGTATGTAGTAACTCATCTTTTAAACTGTCAAACACCAAGCGGTCACCGGTGACCGCGACCCATTGTTCTTTAATTGTGTCTATAAAACCGGTACTCGACGAGTTAAAGAAAACCTATCGTAACTTCAGTGTGCCCTCAGCCTTACCAATCAACTCCTGCGCCGATTCCAAATACAAAATATCGGACGTTGCAAACGCCATTCGTAGCGTGACCGCCGCGTCGTCCGCACGTGCCGATGTCCGCGACAGATATTCGAATTTTAATCGAATTCTGGTGGATATTATTTTATTATTGTATTTTTTTAAATACAATAGTTGATTCGGTTATAAGGCGTTTGTTAAGTGGTATTGCTAATTTATTTGATTTAGACATAGAAGACGATTGATACAGTGATGTGTTAATTTAAAATTTAGTTTATTTTAATTTATTTATTTATTCAATCTGTGATATTATAGTGTTAGTTATATTGTTTAATTTATTTTTAAAAATGCCGGAACAAGCTGGGATTATTACTATTCATCAAGTAAGTTTCATTTTTGTTAACCGACTTCAAAAAAAGGAGGAGGTTCTCAATTTGACCATATATATTCTTTTTTAAATAAATGTCTGTCCTTAGTGGGGTAGCTAATTAGCCAGATGTATTCATAGGTACTGACATTATAGAACATCTTTTTTAAAAAAAGAGTAACGAATGGAGTTTCTTGCTCGTTATTCTCCATTCGAATCTACATTTTGGAACGAGCTTCAGTGACGGACTGACTGACAATTATTTGTTTTGTATTTGTTGACGTTTCTAAAGTACCAAATTATGGTTTAATTGAAATAAATGCATTTTAAGTTTTTGAGGGATCTAGAGTTTTGTAGTTATAACATAACGACTATTAGTTTTTGAAGGGGTACACAATTACAAATCTATATTTTCTACTACTTTTTAGTTAGGCTCCACGCTAGTTAGGCTCGTCGGCCGAGAAGTCGCAAGTGTGACTGCCAGGCAAAAGGTCTCAAGTTCGATAACCGGGTAAGGCAAACTCGGGCAAAGTATTAATGAGTTAAAAAAAGTCTCAGTAGTAGCACGAAGTTTTAATTGTGCCCGGTATATGGCAATACGCTCACCCCCTATTACATGGGACTCATAACATAAATAGTGAAAAGTGGATGTTACATTGCACAGTGACATTAAGTGCCGTAATATGCATTTCTGTCTACCCCTTCGGGGATAGGACTGGGTGCCGTCTCCTCCTTTGTGGAGGTGGATTAGAAGTGGGTGTCACATTATACATTTGCTCTGCTTACCCCAGCGGGGATAAGTTGTTTAGTAGATGACAGATGACTAGTCTGACACGTGTAGCAGTTGGCCCTGTGCCTGACCTCACTTCTAATGTCATTTAGCAATCATAATATCGTACTAATAATTTAATTCGATGTTTGTCTGTATGTCACTCCTTTACGTCAAAATGGCTGAAGGGATTAGGATGAAATTCGGAACACGGGTAGGTTATGGTCTGGAATAACATATAGGGTATTTTTTATTCCACGGAATTGTGAGCAAAGCCACTGATAGAAGATAGTATTATAATGTAACTTCTCATTGCTATATAGAATAAGATGACTAGCTAGTCCCGAGCTTGTATGATTGTTGGATACTTTTTTTTAAGTATTGAAAATCATCGAATGACTGCTCCCGCCTGGGTGAGGCGGGAGGGAGTGTCAGACTCTTACTGACTAATAACCACTCCTGCACTTCGAGCCGGAGCCCCGGTAACCCGTTAAGTCTTCCGCGGCTCCGTATCGGCATCAGCCTCATTGGGCCCCATCTGAACGCGACGCGCCTTGCGCTCGAGCCTGGTTATGGTCGGACGGCGAGTCACCCGTGCTCGCCGTCCGCAGGCCCGTGCATTGATTGATACTTGTATGATATTTTTAAACGTTTCCCCATACTATGATTTTCTGCTATGTGGTGGGTCCGTTTACAAACATACAAGTTCACATACACATCGCACCCAGACCCGGAACAACTATTTGAGGATCACACAAAGAGATCCGACACAAAAAGATCCGTGTGGAAATCGGACCCCCGGTGCGTGGCAGCCGGTTACCCAGCCACCGCACTAACCGTGTTGTCAATTTCCCTCGCTGCTCGGCTCCTATTGGTCGTAGCGTGATGTTCTATAGCTTATCACCTTGCTAAATAAATGGACTATCCAACACAAAAAGAATTATTCAAATCGAACAAGTCGTTCCGAAGATAGCGCATTTAAACAAATACAAACAAATTTTTAGCTTTACACAATATTCACTTCAGCAACTACTTTATCCTTACAGTCTCTTTTCTTTGTGCCTTTAGGCTTAATTCATTCTGTCTCCTGCAGTAATTCACCGAGGGAAGTGGCAACTATAGTTTTTCTTCTTCTCTTATAATATCTTCTGATTCACTTCGTTGCAGCAACCAAGACAGTTACTCATGTCCCTGGGATGCGCCGGACTTCAGTGTTCCGGTGTTTTCATGGTTGTATCTACTGTAGATCCTGGCTTACAGGAGTTGCAGCGGTTTTGGGAGGATGTGGCGGGCTTGTCCCATAAAAAAACTACTCTGTTTATTTTGAACACTTAAATATAACATATTATACCTATTTATTTTGCGAAATAACGTCATTAAACTTCAGACAACAAGTATAATTTATTTAGCATATAAATTGCAAATATTATAACGAAAATAATGAAAAATTATTCACATAAAAAGAAGAATTGTCGTTACTAAGTTCGGAATATCAATTTTTTTATGGCATAGGGTGATAGGGTAAACGAGCAGACGGATCACCTGATGGTAAGCAATCGGCGTCGCCCATGGACACCTGGAACACCAGAGGCATTACAAGTGCGTTACCGGCCTTTTGGGGATTAGGAGTTTGGGGATTCAGGGATTGGGGAGATTGGGGAAGGGGAGGGTAATTGGGCCTCCGGTAACCTCCCTCACACGACGAAATACAACGCAAGTGTTGCTACACAAAAAAAAAATTACAGAATAAACCAGTTGTTCAAGCTTAGCTTCACTGACGGACGGACGGACGGACGGAAATTTAAATTTTTGACGTCTCAAGTGCTTAATTAAGGATTAATTGAACTAACGAATATAATTCATTAAGGAATTATTGACAAATCTCAGTACTAGTACGGAGTCTGGAAATGTGTCCGGTATATGGCAATAGACTCACTCCCTATTACATGGGACTCATAACATAAATAGTGAAAAGTGGGTGTTACATTGTACTGTGGCATTAAGTGCTTTAATGTTCACCTCAGCCTACCTCTTCGGGGGTAAAAGGCGTCATGTTATGTACCTAGCTTCACTGACGGACTAACTTTCAGACTATTATTTATTTATTGACGTTTCAAAAGTACCAAATTATAGTTTAACCCTTTGCGCACCGGTGACCGCTCGGTGTTTGACAGTTTGATTGAAATAAATGGTTTGATTTTGACTTTACGTAATTTTTAGATATTAATCGCGAGCAGCTAATTTTTGTTGATAAACTATAAAACAATGATTGTCATCAATATGACACATGCATGATACGGAAGGTAATAAATGCCTTTATAGTGCCAAGATACTATTATGTGTCACAGATAACAATTTCATATTATATAATACACATAATTGAGTATTAATAAACGGCCACGAGATTCATGAAATAATTTTGCATTATGTAATTAACCGTCATGCGATTTATTTCATGACTGGTAGATGAAATTTATCATAAGTCGTGATGGCCCGGAGGTTAAGAGGGTAGCTTCTCGATTCTTCTTCTATGTTCGAAACCTACCAACGGCAAGTACCAATGTGACTTTTTCCGAGTTATATGTACTTTCTAAGATTATTCAGACACCACTGACAAACGGTGAAGGAAAACATCGTGAGGAAACCTGGGCTTATAATTTCTAATTATAAGTTTGAAATCGCCAACCCGCATTGAGCCTAGCTTCACTAACGGACAGACTGACAGACTATTATTTTGTATTTGTTGACGTTTCAAAAGTACCAAATTATGGTTTAATTGAATAAATGCTTTTGAGTTGAGTTGAGCAAGCGTGGTGATTAATGCTCAAACCTTCTCCGTGTGAGAAAAGGCTTTGCTCAGCTGTGGGCATTTATAGGCTGTTGTTGGTGATGGTGAGAATTTGGGGATTGGGGCGGGCATCTGGGCCTCCGGCTACCTCACTTACACGGCGAAACACAACGCAAGCGTTACTTCACGTTAGTTTTCTGCTCGGCCGTGGTATCACTCCGGTCAAGCCGACCCATTCGTGCCGGAGCATGGCTCTTCCACATTTGGGATTTATTTTATGACTGGTAGATGCATTTTTTACTAATTACATGTTCTAGCTTCTGCCGGCTGCATCGCCCGCGTGTCTGCGCAATAAAAAGTAGCCTATGTGTTCGTCCAAACCATAATCTACCCCTGTTCCAAATTTCATCCTGATCCCTTCAGCCGGTTTGACGGGATTGTCCTACAAAGATACACACGAACTTTCGCATTTGTAATCTTAGTGAATTGACATACATACACATAGGCGCGGTTTTCATATCGCAGTTTATTTTTAACAGAGAGAGTTAGATAAACTTTTAAAAGATTTGATATCTGTAAAGAGTACCGTATCTTTAAATATTTTCGAAATATATGTCAATGATAACATAACATCATTTTATTCCCGTTCGTTCCGCGCGCGCCTCTAAGAGCCATCAGACCATCACAGATGGGTTGATGCCCGATACGGAGCCGCGGAAGGCCTAACGGGTTGCCGGGGCTCTGGCTCGTAGTGCAGGAGAAGGAACGGGGTGGTTTTTAGTAAGTAAGAGTCTGACACTCCCTCCCGGGTGAGTGAAATCGTTGGATGATTTTCCTCCCTCAAAAAAAAAGGGGTGGGCAGAGGTGCACATTACGACACTTAATGCCACTGTACAATGTAACACCGACTTTTCACTATTTATATTCTGAGTCTCATGTAATAGGGGGTGAGTCTATTGCCATATACCGGAGAGATTAGAAATCAATATGTATGGGGATGACACTGACAAGTGTCAAAATTTACGTCAGTTCCATATAATTTGGTTTTCTATTCTACATGTAGACAAGCGCTAAATGGCATTTGGCTACAGCTGCAGGTGATCCGTCTGCTCGTTTACCGCCTTATCCTATAACATAACATAGTTTCAACAAACCATTCAGTTTTATATGAAAAAGTACATACTTATCACTTAAGTAATTAACTCGTCGAGTACCGTATTTATAGACACAATTAAAGAACAATAGGTTGCGGTCACCGGTGACCGCTTGGTGTTTGACAGTTTAAATGTTGGTTAACCTATAATTGGCGACTGTATAAGCCTAAACACTTAATATTACTTTCATATCACTTAATGCTATGTATACAGAAGCTGTTGGTATACCTATTTAAATAAATAATAATAATACATATATAAGATTCGGCGTACATTGATTACATTCTGTAATTAGTTAATTTAAA